AAACCCAGCTTTACTCATACCCGATCGAGTAATTTAAAAGCCGATTCCAATTGAACCACGATTCTAGTCTGAGAATAAATGTTGTTCATAACAAGAAATTACCAACCAAAAATTTGGGACAATTATAGGATTAGGAGCATAAGTAGGAAGTGAATGACATCGGCAATAAATTTTTGAAGGTTTGCCTTTTCACTTTGTTTCACACCTATATAGGTAATCGATTTTATAGTCGGTGGACCCGTTCATACTGGATGGTGTAAACTAGTTTTGGGAGGTGATAATTTTCACACAGGATGGTGAGATCGACGTGAAGGAAGTTGTATGATGTGGTCGATGCTGATGTGAAAATATCGAATTCACATGCAAAGTAGCAATGTTAGCATGCAGGGGCGGATCCAACAAATGGAATGAGATAGGGCCAAAATTTGTGGTAATTGAAAAAACGACGATGAAAAGTAATTGGCACAATATGAGACATACAAAATTACACTTATATATAATTTTTTTTTTTTAAATAATTCAAAATGACATATCAAAACACCCTACAAATTGCATATTTTAGTATTATTATCCATTTCAATGACTTAGAATGTGTTATTATCAATATGTCAAGATCTCATGATTAATCAATCACATGTCATACAATGTATGTCAATCTTATTAATACTCGTCGTGGGTATGAGAGTGACCCTACAAATTACATATTTTAGTATTATTATCCATTTCAATGACTTAAAATGTGTTATTATCAATATGCCAAGATCTCATGATTAATCAATCACATGTCATACAATGTATGTCAATCTTATTAATACTCGTCGTGGGTATGAGAGGGATAATATTTTTCAATATGTTGGATCAAATAACTTACTGTAATTCCATCTCTTATTAGTTGATTTCATTGTTCACATGAATTTTTATTGGCAATAATTTTCTAAAAATTATTATAGTAGCATGCAAAGCCATTATATATTTATTTAAAGATATAACGAATAAATAATACATTGCAATAAAAAGATTTATTATGAAAGAAGGAGAAAAAAAATACTTACTTAATATATAACTTCATCATATAAATTATTTTTGTAAAATTACTCCACTTATTTTCTAAAAATATTATGTAATAAGAATATAAATTCTAGGTGGAGCCTAGGCCTCACCTGAAGGGCTTTGCATCCACCCCTGTTAGCATGAGGATGCTTGCTCTGGAGTGAGATATCGTGGCCTGAAATGAGATCGACAGCGATGGTCTTTAGAAGTATTGTATCGATGTATTTGATATATGCGAGTTCCGTTGTGACTTTAGGGCATTGTCTATGTAACTTTGCATTTGAAGCGGTAATAATACTCCGCATCATCACCTTATAAGTTAAATCAGACATGTATAACATAACGTTTAGAGATTTCTAATTATTTTAAAGTATCATGGTTTCGTATCTCCTCATGAGAATTTGTTATTCATTTTTGTGAATATTTATTTTCGTATGTTTTGTTTTTTTCCAAACAAAATTAAATAATACAAAACCTGTGTTCTACACAGGTATTGAACTAACATATATTTAAATAAAAAAATTAAAAAGTAAACTTAAAAGTTTTATTTTACATTTTGTACAGCTTTTAATAAATTATGATATCAATTTTACTCAAGTTGAGACACATGATATATGTAAGTAAGTTTAACCACGTTAGTTTAACATGCTGAGTTTTATGATACAATGGACATAGTATTTCTAGTTCATATTGTACAATATTGCATATCAATTATTTCTCATATTACACAATCTTTAAATAAACAAAATATGGCAAATAAAATACATAATAAATAATCTTTATGCGATGCAAGGAGAAGATCTTGATTTTGGATTAAAAATATGGTTTCTGCATGATGAGATTTGCGTATATGTTGCCTTCTTCCCATAAATTGAATTGCATTTGAATTTGGAATATTTTTGTCTGCAAAATTTGAAGAAGCGTTGCGTATTAGTAATTTAAAGAATATGGAAAGAGGAGAAAAGTGTGGATGATGAATGATGGTTATTAATGTAACTATGTTTTTACGGCAATTCCAAAAACTAATTAGATTTGGTAAAAGAAAAAAATTAATTTTTATCCGAGTACCTACCATTTAAGCTCAACGAATTTTGAAATTATATATAAGTCGAAGTTGTAAATATAGAATTGCAAAATGACGTGTACCTTTTCGTTTTTCCCTTCATGTCCATCTTAAATTTCCGGATAGACTCAATCGTTAGTAATGCCTTTTAATTTATTTATTTGTTTTGTTCTATAGCATACAATGGACCACGTCTAGGCTGGCATGGATGGTAACTTTTAATTTTTAAGTATGCAAATCAATATTTTAATCCATGTTATTTTAATTTTATTCACGATAAGTTTTGGCTTAATTAATTTAGATTTAACTTTCGATATAACTTGACTTGTCATTTTCTGTTCTTGATTTTATTTTTTATTATATTGTGAAATAGGATTCAATTGAGCAATTTTATTCACGACACTTTTTAGTTAAATCATTTGTTATAAATGATACTTAAATATATAAATTCTACATCTGTTTTGCTATGAAGCCAATAGTTGGCTCCATTGTGAACCGTAATCTTAACTTATTCAAAGGACATGCAAACCTCTAGAGTTTAAGTGATATGTGATATAACTGTTTAAATCCAGAAAAGAAAATGTTTAAATCCAGAAAAGAACCTTACAATATAAAATTTCAACTCTGCCAAAATAAGGCCAGTAACGTAATTTAATAGCTCACTATTTTGCATGTATATCCATCCAGTTTCATTTCCTCAACAACTTATCCTCAACTTTACATACACTTATTAGAAGAAAATCTATAAGTATTCAGACTTTTCTTGGCTACACTTGAAAATTTGGCTCATTAGTCTCAGTTTCTATAGCTAGAGAATGATACTGAGGAGTATTCGTGGCCGAGTCCCGGGCCAGTTGCCCATGTCAAAGGCTAGTCTATATTAATGCAACTTTTTTCACTTTGCAAGAAAATAAGGCTAAGCTGTGTCTGAAAATCACTGATGCTGAACAGAATAAACAAGCAGGGCACAACAATATTTGTAAAAGGATATTGATCTTATAACAAATTAGGCTAATTAAGTTGACCTTAGTTGCAAATACATTTGTTATCTTTTTTGTTTTTTACTTTTATGTTGTGTAGAATGGAGCTGGCTACTTGGTGACTCGAGCTGCTGCTTCTATGCAAGAAGCTTGTGAAGCATCTAACTGCAGGTACTACTTATATATACACTT